CACCGTAAAAAATTCACTGAAAAAAAACGACCTTATAAAAAAGAATTAGATTCTAAACTGTAAACACTAACTGTTAGAAACGACACTATGAAAATGAAAATACTCGTATTGTAAATACAGTAGTTGTAAACCAACTTTCAGTTTTATCCGGTGGTGGTTTGCACTCGTTTTTTACTTTTTTATTTTACACAAAGGGTACTCCGTTTTTTCACACATAAAAAGTAAAGCAATGTGGTCTCTTGTCTTCCTTGTATTATTTTTCATGTCCACTAGATGGCGATCGGTAGGATTAAAGCACTGATATTCAGGATCTAGTCATCTTGAAAAGTCGTAATCTGGATCAGGCTGATCCTATCCTGAATTGCTTTGAACTCCAGGGACAACATCTGGCCGACTTGTCTGATCCTGGATCACAAGAAATGGGATTTCAAAATCGGATCGGATCTGATTGAGATTAAAAGTTTTGAACTCCTGGGCCCTGGAGCATAAACCTGGTTCTGATCTGATGTCCTGAGCAGTGGATAGTAATCCTTATCATCAGAAACAGGGATAATCAGATACAGAGTGATGGTGACGCTGATAGCTCCATCAATAATAATCATAATAAAAATACATTTTATTTATAAAGGCACTTTCAAGGCTCTCAAGGTACAAGGTTCACTAAACACTAAACAAAACAGAAGTCCAAAGAACAGCACATTATAACCAATGAAGAAGAGCAGAGGACGTGTGACGTGATCAGGGTGGATATGGTATTAAAGGTGACGGTGTTACCTGAAGCCCTTCCACACATCCAGCCAGCCGGACCTCACCACGGCGCTCTGAGGGGCCGCCCCCCCCACGGCCCCCTTCTTCCTGGACACTCGGATAGTAGCCGTCCTGCAGGACACAACCACAAACACACTGAGTCTCAGACGTTCCTTTAAACATCTCCAGCAACAACACGAGCAGCATTTAGAGAACAGTCAGCAACTTGAGGAGACGTGTGTTTGTATGATGATTTGCGAACCTTTACAGGTTTATGGGCTGCTGGTCCTGCACTGATCGTGTGTTGCATGCTACACTGCGTCAGGTCTCTCTTGTGTCGTAACCCTGCTTTCCTGAACTTTTACTTACCGTCAGCAAGAATAAGAAAACTAAATCAGAGAAATGAAAGCTAAGGAAATCGTTTGTTGTTGTTTGTCTTCCTGAAGGTGCGTTTGCGTACCTCGGCATCTTCTGTCTCAGCGGCTTCTTTAATTGGCTGCGAGGAGGGGGCGGGGCCGGTCGCGTGGGGACCAGACGTCCCGCCTGATTGGACGGGAGGCTGCAGGACAAACAAACACCAGTTAGGATGCAGTGAAGTACTAGAGGTAGTTTTTGTAGTACCGTATAAATACTTGGTGGTTGTTGACGATGTGTTATGAGCAGGATCTCCCTCCATTGGTCCCTCTGCACCAGAGGGGGCGGGGCTTGCTCCTGTATCATCCTCCTCATTGGACGAGTCGGTGTCGGCTTCCTCTTGGCTCGCCCAACAAGCTAACAGCGTGACGTACGGATTCTCTTCTTTGATGGTGTGAGGAGAGCGTCTGGAGACTGGAACCCAGACAGACGGAGAGGAGTCAGACCCCGAGGACACACACTTTATATAATCCTACTAAACCGCTCATAATAAACGGGGTAATTCCGTCAACATTCATCCGTCTCATCGGGAGGTGGACGTGATGGACTATGCATCTCACCCTCCCTCTTCACCTTACTGAAAAGCTTTGCTCATATGGGAAAAATGGTTGTCTTTTCCTACGTTTAAACACTTCATATTGAGAATAAGAGTCTTATATGAGACTGAACACACCGTCCTCTGATGGCTCCGCCTCTTGAAGAGACGGTAAAGAGACTCCTGTGTTCGAGTCTAACGTCGACATCACCAGCTGAGACAACGCTCCGACATCTGCACACAAACAGAGGACACGCTCAGCCAATCAGAAGGGAGTATGTCTGAAACTGATGGGCCAATACAGAGCGGGAGGTATTCCTGTGTTGGACCCTGAAGGCAGCATCTCCCACGTCCAATGGGATTCCAAACAAACAAACAAACGTTGAGTTCAGCAGGATACTCTCCACATATTAACACCACTTTGTGATTTCTGAAGTAACAAGCCGACAGGTATTTACTGACAAAACGTTAAAGTCTCTTCAGCTCGTGTCCTGATTTCAGGATAACAACTAAAAACACATTCAGAAAACCATTGACCTCCAGACCAGGGGACAGGAAGTAAGGAAATGCTGACTCATATTATGGTACGGACTCGTTCCTGGAGAACACTTTGAGTCCCCCTAAATTAAAACAAAGGAAATGGAGGAATTTTATTTTTAAAAAAAACTTCTTGCTGTACCTGTGTGAGCGTCTCCGATCCCCGGCAGTGAGGGGGGGGGGGCTGACGGGGTCGTTATGGAGCTAACAGACGGGTTAGCCACATTGCTAACAATCGCCGCTAAACTGGGAATGTTAGCGAACGAGCTAACTATGCTGTCTAAGCTAACAGTGTGACCAGGTGTGGTGAAGGAGGCGGAGTTTATCGTAGCCGCGGGGGGGTTAGCCACAGCGCTAGCAGTTCCCGCTAAGCTAGGTATGTTAGCGGCGATGCTGTTAGCCATGCTGTCTATGGAGGGGGGGGCAGAAGGGGCGGAGGGGGCGGAGCCTCTGAGGGAGGTGGCGAGTCCAGCCAATGAGGGGATGCTGCTGGCGATGATGTCAGTGACGCCGGCCAGAGACGGGAAGACGGAGCTACGATCCAACGCCATGACAGGAGGGGGGGGGGCATCTCCACCTGGAGGGGGGCAAGGTTCAGAATCAGAGTTCCTTTATTGTCCTGCAGCGAGGACATGTACATTACAGACGTTTAGTGCAGGTAAAGAGTAGAGAATAGACTTACTTATTAAAAATGTTGAAATAACGTTACAGATTGTAAATACATTGAAAGAAAAGATTAAGAATCGCTAGTTAGTACTTTTCCTCGAGACTGTAAGTATAATTATGAGGTTCTTAAGTCTGTAATTTGTTCTAACCGCTGAGAATCAGTTTTAATGGAGACCTTTGTTCTGCAGTTTGGAGACAAACTTTATTATCAGAGGCTTATGAGAGGAGCTGACTCCTGAAGCACTGAATCAAAACATGTGTGTGTGTGTGTGTGTGTGTGTGTGTGTGTGTGTGTGTGTGTGTGTGTGTGTGTTTGTGTGTGTGTGTTTGTGTGTG